ACTTCTTTACTTACTAATTTTTCAATTTTTTCTTCTTCCTTGGCCATTTGTTCTCTCTCCTCAGGTTTTTTCTTTTCTTTTGGAACAAGAATTTTTTCCTCTGCTTTCTCAACTTCTTTACTTACTAATTTTTCAATTTTTTCTTCTTCCTTGGCCATTTGTTCTCTCTCCTCAGGTTTTTTCTTTTCTTTTGGAACAAGAATTTTTTCCTCTGCTTTCTCAACTTCTTTACTTACTAATTTTTCAATTTTTTCTTCTTCCTTGGCCATTTGTTCTCTCTCCTCAGGTTTTTTCTTTTCTTTTGGAACAAGAATTTTTTCCTCTGCTTTCTCAACTTCTTCAGTTACTAGTTTTTCTATTTTTTCTACTTCCTTGACCATTGGTTCTTTCTCTTCTTTAGGAACAGATATTATTTCCTCTGCTTTCTCAACTTCTTCAGTTACTAATTTTTCTGGTTGTTCTTCTTCCTTGACCCTTGGTTCTTTCTCCTCAGGTTCTTTTTCTTCTTTAGGAACAGGAATTTTTTCTTTTGCCATTTCTACTTCTTCAGTTATTAATGTTTTTGGTTTTTCTATTTCTTTGGCCATTGGTTCTTTCTTTTCTTTAGGAACAGATATTTTTTCCTCTGCTTTCTCAACTTCTTCATGTACTAATTTTTCTATTTTTTCTTCTTCCTTGACCATTGATTCTCTCTTCTCAGGTTCTTTTTCTTCTTTAGGAAGAGGAATTTTTTCCTCTGTTTTTTCTATTTTTTCAGTTATTAATGTTTTTGCTTTTTCTACTTCCTTGGCCATTGGTTCTTTCTCTTCTTTAGAAACACATATTTTTTCCTCTGCTTTCTCAACTTCTTCAGTTATTAATTTTTCTGGTTTTTCTACCTCCTTGACCATTTTTTCTCGCTCCTCAGGTTTTTTCTCTTCCTTTGGAACAGGAATTTTTTTCTCTGCTTTCTCTACTCCTGCAAGTACTAATATTTCCCTTTTTTCTACTTCTTTTATCATTGGTTCTTTTTCCTCAGATTCTTTTTCTTCTTTAGGAACAGGTAATGTTTTTTCCGCTTTCTCTACTTCTTCCACTACTAGTTTTTCTGGTTTTTCTACTTCCTTGACTGTTGGTTTCCTTTTCTCAGGTTCTTTCTCTTCTTTAGGAACAGATATTTTTTCCTTTGGTTTCCCTACTTCTTCAGTTACTAATTTTTCTATTTTTTTTACTTCCTTGATAATTGGTTCTCTCTCTTCAGGTTCTTTTTCTTCTTCAGGAACAGGTATTATTTCCTGTGCTTTCTCTACTTCTTTGGCTCTTTTTGCTTCTTCTTTGGTAATAATTATTTTTTCTGTTTTTTCTACTTCCTTACTGATTGGTATTCTTTCTGAAGTATCCTCCTCTCCCTTGGCAACAGGGACTGCTTCCTTTTTCAACTTTTCTTTCAGAGCAGATGCTTTTTGCTGTGGCTTTTCTAATCTTTTAGTGACTGGTGATGGTTTAATTTGTTCATGTTTTGTGCCTGCTGTTCTTGTTTCTTTAACTTTTTTAGATGTAACTGTAGATTTTGGGGAAGGAGTAGCTTTTTCTTCTCTTTCAACTTTTCGTGGTGGCTTTTGTCCTCTTAGTTGAATCGGTCTTGTTTTTGATATGTGCTTTGGTGATGCAGCTGGAGATCTCCTTTTGCCTTCTTTTTGAGCTACTGACTTAGTTGGGGTTGATGGTCGTTTGGTTTTGCGTTCTATTTCAGAGTTTTTTTGTAATATTCTCTTTTCTGCACTTTTATCAGTAACAGTTTCCTTATCCTTTTTCTCTGGAGATTTAGGAGAGACCGCCATTCTTTTAATTTCTATTTCTTTCTCTGTTACTTTACCTGATGGTATAATGGCACGAGGTTCTCGTCTTCTTGCCGTGTGTTTCTTTGCTGGAGATTTTTCACGTTTGGATTCTATTTCCTTGTATGAAACTTTAGCTAGTTCAACAGGTTTTCTTTCCGTGGGTTTCTGTGTTAGAGATACATCTTTTTTGGCGGGTGTTGTTTGGTCAACTTTTGGCACTGGTTTCTTGGTAGGTGATTCAGGTGTCATTATTGCTTGTTTAGGAAGAACTTTTGCAATAGGTTTTTCGGTATCTTTTGCTAATTTGGATTTTTCTGTTTTTTTTAAAAGGGATTGACAACATTTTGGCTGTTTTAGTAACTCTAAGTGATTTAGCTTCTCTAAGCCTTCAAATAATCTTTCCTGAGGAGCACTTCCTGGAAAAAGCATTCGAGTAATGGTATCATTAGGGTCTGCTGGTTTCCAAATAACTAGAGCACAAATTGATGTAAGATCTGAAAGAGGAACAGGAATTTTTTCCTCTGATTTTAAACTCACCTTAAGAGTGCTGAAATTGTCTTTTCTGGATGACCACTGATGAAGAAATTCTTTGACCTCACGGCTATCTTTCGAAGGATTTAAAAAATACATTTCTAAAGTTCCATGACCAACTTTCTGATACAAAATTAAAGGTTCTATTGGGCTTTCTTGAAAGCACAGATGAGGTTTCAAATCTAATGTATTCAGGTTTTCAATAAATAAATGCCCTTCTTGGATAACGTTGACAACGAGTTCATCTCTATCTTTTTCGTTTTCATCGATAGAAGGTTCTTTTCCATTTATCACATTAGAAAATACATATCCAATATTTGGACATACTTTTCCAAGAGTTTTTCTTTTGATTAACGATGTAATTCCACTTAGATTACTTTCACTGAAACGCGTAGCCATAACAGCGTCAATCCTATCAATATGGCGGAGAAATTCCCAAAAACAGGGTTTACGTTCAAACCCTCCATCCATTAACATCACAAAACCACTCACTCCAACCAAAGCACAGTCACCATCACCACCTGGGAATACGTATAAAGTTGGACGATTGAAGCGAATATTTCCAACAATTGAAGATGGCTGCATTATTTTATCCAAAGGGCTGCTGGGAATAACTTTCTTAAGAAACTCCAATAAGGCAGGAGCCCCTGGAACAGAAGCAGATGTGTCGGGTGGGTTTATTAAGATTTTGGCCAAGTTACCTATATTACTCTCTACGATTCCCTTGTTTGTCCAGTCACCATCAGAAAAGCAGTGTAAGTGAATTGAGTATCCTGGGTAGATCTTTAAAACTCGTTGAACATCGGCATCATAGAAGGCATCAACAAATTCATCAAAACTAAAAGTTCCATCTTGAAGGATCCAGGATCCAGATCCAGAATAGGAATACCCACTGTGAATTAAATGTTTGTGACCTGTGTGTGATACTAACAGGTTCTTCAGGCACTGTTTGAGTGTGTTTTTCTTTGGATTGAAAAGAGCTTCTACAGCAAGAGACTCCGTCGAGTGTTGAAAAATTAACTCTGGGAAAACAAAAACAAATAAACATTATATTTCTTACTGTCAATAACTTCCTTTCATATAATGATGTATATATTAATATACTTAGATTTGTAATTTAACATTTAAACATTAAGAAAATAAGAATTATATATATATATATGAATATGACAAAAAAAAGTAAAAAAATACTTAATAATTAATTTACAATAACTTAACATTCAATCTTTCTTGCTACAAATTAAACGTTTAACTAATGTGGTATATATGTATATATATATATATATACACATTTAGTTGTTGGATATACTAACTTTGGGACTTTCTACATATACATATAGTGTACCAAACTATATAATTATAATGACTGCGTGTTTGGCTACGACTGTTTTTAAAGAAAGAAGAAATGCATAATTTGGGGTTATAAATAAAAAGTCCGAAGCTGACCCATAAAGTTTTATTCAATTGAAATATATAAATTGCACCACCGGTTTCAGAACTTTTACCGTTGAATACAGTTGTTCCTGAGTAATTATCAGGATCCTTTTTTCTATTAAGATATGCTTGAAATTTTGCTTGTCCCAAATATTATACTGCTTTAAGCATTTCTTTACACAGCATTATACACCTTTGTTCTTGGGCTTATAACTAAGATACATCAGAAGTACGCATTTCTTACCATGCTGTGGTTTGTCAGCTAGTTCTGTGCTTCTTAAAACATCTTCGAGATCTTTAAGATCAGAGCTGGTAGTGCTGACATCCCACGAGAGTAGACCTAGACGAGAAAAGAACATCAACATTACAAAAATAACTTTATCTCAAGGTTTCTAAACTTTAGTTTTCGAGATCCGTGCAATAACTTATTTCAACTTAATACATCGATCTCAATGTATTTTTACTCAGTAGTCGGAGTTGTGTGGTTTATCCATCAGAAATTCATTTGGCAGAAAAGATACCAACATAATGAATCTGCAAGAATCAACGAAGATTCATAAAGAATGTGTCTGAAAAAGCTTTGTGTTACTACCTTAATTTTTCTGAAAGTTACATTTGAAAACTTCCAAACCCTGTTTTTTTTTAGTATTCATTCAACTTTAAAAATATTGTTACGACAGCGGAAGTCACGCCACGCTGGGAGCATGCG